TCAGCGGCAGTTGGTGCTGTCCTAGTTGAGACTTGCGCTGGAGACGATCGTTTTAGGTTCGGGCCCTCGTCCAAAGTTTTTTTTTTCAAAAAACTTCCAATCTATTCATCTTCAGTCATAGCAGTACAACGAACATCAGAAATAAAAATTACATTCAGATCCATAAACAATCTAGCGACGACTACAAGCACTAAAGCAAGTCGAAGGCGCTCTGCCGTCATCACCCCTCCATCATCGGAGTCGGGCACAACTTGTTGTAGTAGACAGTCGAGAAGTCGTCGTGCTAAGGCCCCATAGGACTAGCGCACCAGAACAGCAACCGCCGCCGATGAAGAATAACGCAGGTTGGAAGGATTCAACACAAAGACACACGAACATAGACGAACGACGACGAGATCCGAGCAAATCCACCAAAGATAGATCCGCCGGAGACACACCTCCACACGCCCACCAACGATGCTAGATGCACCGCCGGAACGGGGGCTATGCGGGGAGACCTTTATTCCATCTTCAGAAAGCCGCTGCCATCTCACCTTCCTGAGTATGACACAAACCCTAACAAGACAGAAAAAAACGACCGAAAACGAAGCCCTTCCGCCGACCCTTGGCAGGATCCACCACGTCCCCATGGACTTAGGGCCACCAGAGACGAGGCGGACCTGCGGCGGCGCCGGCGAGTGGCAGAAACTCTAGCTTTCTTTTTTGGAGAAGAAGGAGCGACTTGGCAGTTGTGGGGGGCGGGGGGGGGGTGCTATCGGATCTGAGCCTGATTGGAGGATGCGAGGTGAGGAGAGAAGTGGAAACTGATTGTAGGGAAAAAATTAAGAGGGGAGGAGGTTGGAGTAGGAAAAGAGACGGGACCTCAGCAGAATTTGGTGCTGTTCTGTCCTAGTGAGACTTGCACTGGAGACGATCGTTTAGGTTCGGGCCCTCGTCCAAAGTTTTTTCTTTCAAAAAACTTTCAATCTATTCATCTTCAATCATGGCAGTACAACGAACACCAGAAATAAAAATTACATTCAGATCCGTAGACCATCTAGCGACGACTACAAGCACTAAAGCAAGCCGAAGGCGCTCTGCCGTCATCACCCCTCCATCACCGGAGTCGGGCACAACTTGTTGTAGTAGACAATCGAGAAGTCGTCGTACTAAGGCCCCATAGGACCAGCGCACCAGAACAGCAACCGCCGTCAATGAAGAATAACGCAGGTTAGAAGGATTCAACACGAAGACACACGAACATAAACGAACAATGACGAGATCCGAGCAAATCCACCAAAGATAGATCCGCCGAAGACACACCTCCACACGCCCACCAACGATGCTAGATGCACCGCCGGAACGGGGGCTAGGCGGGGAGACCTTTATTCCATCTTCAGAAAGCCGCCGCCGTCTCGCCTTCCTGAGCATGACACAAACCCTAACAAGACAGGAAAAAACGACTGAAAACGGAGCCCTCCCGCCGACCCTTGGCAGGATCCACCACGTCCCCATGGCCCTAGGGCCACCGGAGACGAGGCGGACCTGCGGCGGCGCCGGCGAGAGGCAGAAACTCTAGCTTTCTTTTTTGGAGAAGGAGGAGCAACTTGGCGGCTATGGAGGGGCGGGGGGGCTATCGGATCTGAGCCTGATTGGAGGATGCGAGGTGACGAGAGAAGTGGAAACCGATTGTAGGGAAAAAAATAAGAGGGGAGGAGGTTGGAGTAGGAAAAGAGACGGGACCTCAGCGGCACTTGGTGCTGTTTTGTCCTAGTGAGACTTGCACTGGAGACGATCGTTTAGGTTCGGGCCCTCGTCCAAAGTTTTTTCTTTCGAAAAACTTCCAATCTATTCATCTTCAATCATGGCAGTACAACGAACACCAGAAATAAAAATTACATCCAGATCCGTAGACCATCTAGCGACGACTACAAGCACTAAAGCAAGTCGAAGGCGCTCTGCCGTCATCACCCCTCCATCACCGGAGTCGGGCACAACTTGTTGTAGTAGACAGTCGAGAAGTCGTCGTGCTAAGGCCCCATAGGACCAGCGCACCAGAACAACAACCGCCGCCGATGAAGAATAACGCAGGTTGGAAGGATTCAACACGAAGACACACGAACATAGACGAACAACGACGAGATCCGAGCAAATCCACCAAAAATAGATCCGCCGGAGACACACCTCCACACGCCCACCAACGATGCTAGATGCACCGCAGGAACGGGGGCTAGGCGGGGAGACCTTTATTCCATCTTCAGAAAGCCGCCGCCGTCTCGCCTTCCTGAGCATGACACAAACCCTAACAAGACAGGAAAAAAACGACTGAAAACGGAGCCCTCCCGCCGACCCTTGGCAGGATCCACTGCGTCCCCATGGCCCTAGGGCCACCGAACACGAGTGTAACGCCCCGTGACCGATGTGCCAGGTGTCGTGCAGTTATTCGATGTTGTTGCGTTGTCATTGCTTGCGTGTCATGCATTTCATATCATGTCATCATGTGCATTTCATTTGCATACATGTTCGTCTCTTGCATTCGAGCATTTTTCCCGTTGTCCGTTTTGCATTCCGGCGCTTCGTTCTCCTCCGGTGGTCATTTCTAGATTTCTTTCGTGTGTGGGGATTAAACATTTCCTGATTGGACCGAGACTTGCCAAGCGGCCTTGGTTTACTACCAGTAGACCGTCTGTCAAGTTTCGTACCATTTGGACTTCGTTTGATACTCCAACGGTTAACCGAGGGACCGAGAAGGCCTCGTGTGTGTTGCAGCCCAACACCCTTTCAATTTGGCCCAAAACCCACCAAAACCCTCTCCATCACCTTGGTCATTCGATCACGATCGCGTGGCCGAAAATCGCACCTCATTTGGACTTCCCTAGCTCCCTCTACCTATAAATATGTGGTCATCCCCGAAATTTTCGCGGATGAACCCTAAAACTCCTCCTCTCGCGCCGCCAGACGCGTCCACGCCACGCCGGACGTGTCCACCGCGCCCCTCCACGTCGCTCCGACCTATGGCGTCGCGCCACGTCGGCCTCAGACGCCTCCGCAGCCAACCACCACTCGCCATGTGGCGCCGTCTCTCTCTCTCTCTCCTCGCCCGCGTGCCACCGAGGCCCGCCGCGGCCCGCGCTCGGCCCTCCCGGCCCGGCGCCCCATGCCGCCGTCCGCGCCTGCCTCGCGCGTCCGAG